TGTGTGCGAGAGAGAGAGAGAGAGAGAGAGAGAGAGAGAATAGAAGGAATCCGGAACTCGAGATATGGAAAATAGTGGACAGATAGCTGGACACACACACACAACAATCACGGCTGGGCAGACGATGCTTTGCTGTTTATCTTTCTGACTATTGGATATCTTTCTGACTATTGGAGATTCAAGCGAGTTAGCCTCAATGATTCATCGAACAGAGGTTTCACTTGATCGAACTTGGATATTCTCTTTAGCGAGCTCGGTTACTCACATAAAAACCCAGGTACTTACTCACACGCTTGAACTTGGAAGCAACAGTGATTGATTTAATGGTCTGCCTCCTCCAGCAACTGCAATTATCGTCGAGCAGGACTAAAGTGGCGCCCATCACTTCAAGTACAGTTATTAAATTTTGCAGTTTTCCACGCATTGTGGTCGGCCTCAATTCCACATCTGAGTGCGCACTGAAAACGAACTTTTCCCCGCTCTTCGTTTTCGACAAGAAGGGGGTCTCGAACAGGTTCTAGCTGGTAGGAATCGTGTTTTGCCAGGATCAGGTGTTCAATCTGTGAAAGCCACCACCCTCATTACTGTTTGAGATCCACATGAATCGCCCCTGGTACGAATGAACATCACCTCCATACTGCGGCGCATCCTGAGTTTTCAGCTTAGCACCCTTCTTCATAGTAATGCTGTCCGACAAACCGTTAAATCATCCACGTGCTTCCACTCAGAAATGGTCACTTTGACCTCTGCTGTGACGGCGAGGTCTGTGGAAGCTTCTGTCAACTCCACCAAATATTGAAAGGGGGAGGTCGAGTGTCCTCAGTTTCAGTGTTTAGGGGGAGTGGTTTTTGGACGGAAAGGGTTGGCTCCTATCGCTGGCGGCAGATTGAGATTCAGAAATTTTGGAAACTACCATCGCGGTCTGAGCAGCACGTGGGGGTTGCATAAGCATGCCCTTTCATTTTTCTTCCCTTTTTCTTTATTGTTCTTCTTTTGAAGCTGTATGGGCGGCCAAACCTCATGCCTAATCTGAACACATTATATGGTATGGGGATCCAATACGATGCTGTAATCAAGGTTTGATTATAAAAAGTTGTGGGATTTGTTCCTCCCTCTGCGCACTCGTGGCTGCAAAGGGGTAGTGGAAGGGAGAGAGAGAAGAAAAGGGAATGATAAAGTGGGACACGAGAGAAAGAGGGAGAGGCTGCTCGAAACTGGGAGCTGGGAGTGAGACCAGCAACAGATGGCTGCCTGCAGAGTGCCTGAGAAAAAGAAAAAAAAAAAGAAAAAAAAAAAAGAGAGAAAGAGAGTTTTCGCATGGTTCACAGACATGATGTTGGCCTAATGATTAAAATTTTACAAACGAAATCTCCAATTCAAGATCAGTTCTTACTCACTCAAGGGAGCCTTCAAAACAGAGACTTTTTTTTGAAGGTATCTATATTCTTCTCTCAATCTTTGTTTTTGCATATATTCTATCTCATCCTCTCTCTACTCTATGTACAGTACGGGGGACCACCACCCAACCAATCCTGGAACTCTCCCCAGCCCACGGGGTAGGTTTGCACCACAGCAGTGGGTGGTGTGAGAGCAAGGCTTGTATCAGCCCCTCATCGCGACGATGCAGGGTGATCAGGCATTGCCGACGGGGGAAACCGGCGATGCTAGTGCCGAGCATTTTTGGCCAGTCACTTGCACCTTCCCTTACCCCCCTCCAACCCCACATTAGCGGTGTCTAATGGCGAATATCATTGCTGCATAGCAGCCAACAATATTTCGCCAAGGTCCGGCCAATGCTGGCTTGGAGAGCCAACAGGTTATCTCTAGCTAGTAGAACAGCAAGCTTGCCCAGGCACGTACACGTACGTGAGGCCAATGGGGATTGAACCCACGACCTCCTGAATGCAACTTCTGTGCCTTACCAACTGAGCTAACTTTGTCCACTCGGATTTCCGAACGGTCAAGATTTTTACATAACGGTATTAATAATTAATCTCAAAACGGACGTTCTTTTTGAAGATGCGGTAAAAACCCATCCGAGATTTGTGACATGCGCCGCCCCTGTTCCTGATTGTGGTTAGTTCCTGAAATAGCTCTTGAATTTAAGCTGACCTCCAGACCGTTTCGTGACGGCCAAATCTTGATTGTAACCCTGCAAACCAGAGAAGAAGCCACCGACGAGGCTCCGAGAGGGGGTTTCAGCGCAGATCTCAGATCTGAAAACCAGATCTGTCTATTTTTTATTTTTTATTTTTTTTTCCTCCCATTTCTGTGTGCGGAAAAGGGCTTCAGGTCTAAAAGCCCTTACATGGGGGCGTGATGGGCATTTAGCAGCTGAGGACCTCGGAAGTGGGCGCAGCGCATGACAAACGCTGTTGCCCCTGCCTTCAACGACGAACAGGTGTCTTCCTCCCCGGATCTCCTCATACTACTGGTTCACCTGCTTGACCTTTGCCATAGGGCAATCTACTCGCTTTTTGTCGCTTTTTGTTGTGGACCTTTGCCATGGGGTAATCTACTCCTTTTTTTTTCTTTTTTTTTTTGAAATCTATGGTAATCTACTCTTACTAGACGACCTGTTGCAGATTCGCCCACAAAATGAAATATAATGCATGATGCATCCATAGACGTACATGACCAACGCTCTCTCTCTCTCTTTCTCTCTCTCTCACACACACACACACACACACACTGTATTTCCCTTGTTCGTTAATATGTGGTGTGTGTGTGCGTGTGTGCATGTATGTATGTGTTTTAGATTTTCCCCACCACCACCCCAATTCCACCCAGACGAATAGATTCAGAATCAAAGCAGTCTTTGTCCTATTGCAGACAACGAGAGCATTTGAGATGTGTCCAACATATTAAAGCAATTTTATAATTAGACAGTTTTTTGGTTGTCCTTGGGGTGAACTAAATCTGTTCTCACAACTTCTCAGACGTTTTCTCAGCCGAAGCCCGGTAATGGGCCCGGTATCTTAAAAAAGCGTTCGAGGTGATTAGAGGGTGGGATATTATGCGTCCTACTAGTGAGGAGGCTTGCTGGTAGGATGGGAAGCAGCAGCGGAGATGGTGGCTCTGCTGCAGTACGTCTTGCCGGAATGGGCATAGGGGATTGACTGGGGGTGTTTTGAGTCTTTTCCTGAATCGTGCACTTGTCTTGTTTTTTCTCTCAAAGAGGTGTGTGGCTGGATAACAAGCGTCCTACTAGTAAAGGGGCTAGCTCGTAGGACGGAATTGCACCACAGCAGTAGCGGAGATGGTGGCTCTGCTGCAGTAAGTCTTGCCGGAGTGAGGTAAAAGAGGATGGATGGGGGGTGCTGAGTCATTTTCTGACTTTCGCCTATTTCTGACGCTTGTCGTAGAAAAAGTTTCTAAGTAGCTCCAGTTTTCTTAAGCCAAAAGCTGGGTAATGGCCCCAGTATCTCAATTTTTTATTTTTTATTTTTTTGGTATCTCAAATTTTCATGTTGCATATTCTCAATTGTAATTCAACGGGACGCTGAGCCCGGTTCTCAGCACGTGATTCTCCCCAGGAAAAGAATGGAGCTTTTATCACGAAAAAAAAAAAAAAAAGTCGTCCTTGGGGTACCCCTTTCATTGTTCTTGCAGCTCCCCTTTTACTGTGCCTCTTACACACAAGACTGCCCACGTTGATTGTGGTTGAGCAGCAGCTGCCCACATCCCCGTGTGTGCCTTCACGGCCCACTTGCACGTTATTTCAAGAGGCAGAGTATATGCTCCTGTGCATTTCTCTTCAGAGTTTCATACTCCTGTTCATTTCACTTCAGATCTTCAGCTTATACAGTCTTTGTGTCCGTCCTTCATCTTCATACTTCCGTTCATTTCATTTCCGATCTTCATATCGTCTGTTCTCTTAATGATGCTCATTCGTATGTATTTGTTAGTAGTACAAGGGGAGTGGAGGGGAGGGTGGAGAGTAAGGGGTAGAAGGCGGAGTTCTCCAGGAGTATGGGGCAGGGGAGGTAGGGGCAACGGGAAGAAAAGAAATATGTGGAGGGCAGGATAGAGTATGACATGCAAAGAGCAGGGGAGAGGTGTATGACGAGCTTCTCAGATTTCTAAACATTCAACGCTGAAACAGACTACTCTAGCAAAAAAAGACTATGGCGAGTGGCCAACCCTACAGACAGGCCAGGACAGGACCGGTCGGGTGTGGGCTATGGGAGCAGCACATCCAATTTTTGCAGTCACAGTTGCTGCATCGAATGGCACGGCGCAGACAGATGTCACAGGCTACGTGGCTCGTACATGCTAGGAACACAGAGGCACGTCTACCGCAATATAGAGGCATTGCCGTTCCAGCCCTTGTCTACAAATCAGACATGACATGTCGAGGTGCCGTACATGAGTACAGTACTGACTGTCATCGTACATGTGGAAGCAAAAACTCGCAAGGACTATCCCTTCATAATCCTCACGGCACAGGGCATGCGAACCACATGCTAGTTGAATCTCTGGCGGGTCATCACAAAGTGGCATGGAGCATCTTTCTTGGGCTTTTTCAGTATGTATTCCTTCTCTATGGGCAGACAAACAGGGAGGATCGGTCCAATGCAAGGGCATTCAGCTGCTGCAGGATTCCATCCACAACAGCTCGCACTGGTGGTGATAAACCACGAGCACATTGCTCTGCCGGTGGTTCATATAGAAGCCTATTCTCCTCCTCGGACTGCTGTGTCCGTCGTTCGTCTGGCAAGAAATAGGGAGATCCGTCAGCGGTCGCCGTAGGTGTATGATCAACACCGTATGTGGGACACGCTAGGAGAGGATGTGGAGGGTGATGGCACCAGGGATAGTCCACGGAGTAAAGACACATACTTTCTATGACAGAGCTTCCTGGAAGCATTGACGACACATGGCATGTTGCTGATATGTCATTAGTATGGAAGGCTGACACAATGTTAAACAGCCAATAAGAAACGGGAAACCAGTGATGCTCCGCGTTTTCAATTGGGCAAGTTTTTTCTTTTTTTTCATACGTTGATCACTTCGTTACCTGTATAACAACAATGCTACGAACACAAATCATGTGAGGAGAAGACAGCTGCTTATGGAACGTACGGGTCAGCAACCCACTGTAAGGTAGTCCTACACCAGGACTAGAAGCATGACACAATGTTAACTGGAGAACCGCTGACGACTCCCCAGGCCACTCAATCTCTGGGGTATCACGGAAAGGCGCACAACTTGACATGAGTGCATTCAAAACACTCGAGATCCATCAGGGGAAAAACATCAACTGCAAATAACCAATCGTGAATACTAAGAGTCACATAACATGCACAAGCCGGTTGTCGAAGACTCTAGTTACACTCCGATCACCCCTGGGCCCAAAGTCCCTCCCTCGTTCCAACACAGGGCGCCTTATTGGTGGTGAGATGATTGGCGACATCATGGGTGACCGTGGCATGCATCTGCGCAGACACTCAGAAAAGCTCAGCATCTGTCTCAGAAAACCACTCTCACACGTAAGTCCGCCACCTCCATGCATAGAATCACAGGTGTTTAATGGGAGTGGTGCAGAGACACACATCGAACAGAGTCGGACGATGAAGGTATTTTTCCATTTTAAGGGGGAAAAAATCCACTTACAAATTGATGCACACAGTTGAGCCTGCCAAAGCGTGCCTGCCCGGTAATCAGACAACGACTTGCAAAGCAACTCCAACCGCAACCTGATCCTCTCCGATATCTCATGGCCCAAACAGATAGCGGCCCGAATGCAACAAGAGGCAGGTGACCTACAAGAGCGCCAATGCGTGCATGACACATTCTGAAAAATGGATTCTAAACAACAATCCACATGACTATATCCCGTCCAATCACCATATTCAACTCCCAGCTTTTCCATCCCCTCCCCTCGTCCTCAGTCCCTCCTCTCCCCCTCCCTCCCTCCCTCCCTCCTCCTCCCCATCCTGCATGGACCTCATTCCATCCGCGCAGAGCCAATGATAAATCCACCCTAAAATTGGGAAGAAAAAATGATCATGTCTCGGTCCTCCAGAGACTCTCTGGCAGTAACCAATATCAAGAAGGCAAACGGTTCCAAAAAAAAAAACAAAAACAAAAACCTACCCATCATCAGCAAGCAGACTTCTCTACATATCCTAAACCCTAAACCTTCAGAGGCTGTTTCCTCCCCCCCTCCCTTACGACCAGTAAAACTAAGAATTTGACAGAAGTAGGAACCCTCGCAGAATGTCTGCTAATCGATCTTCACGGACCCGTATATGGTGCGTACAAACCAATAACATGCATAGAACCCGGCGGTGCCAGTGAGCACGAAGAACGAGTACGAAATGATGAGCATGTACCCGAAGTAGAGGATTCCTGACACAACCTTTGTGATCTGGAGCCTGGAGAAGAAGTAGAAAGCGGCGTACAGGAAAAGGTACAACGCGGACGAACCCGAGGTAAGGTATGCCCTCCACCACCAGTTGTAGTCTTCACTGCAAAGCTGGAAGTAGCAAAGCACGATGGTGATCTCCGCGCAGGTAACGATCAGAATGATGAACACCAAGAACAGGAACCCGAAGATGTAGTAGAACTGCTGGAGCCAGATGGAAGACAGGATAAAGAAGAGTTCGATGAACACTGCTCCGAAGGGCAGAATACCCCCGACAAGGACGGAGAAGAAGGGCTGCATATACCACGCCTGCTCCGGGATCTGCCTTGGAATCTTGTTCGTCCGCACTGGGTCTTCCAGGGCAGGCTTCTGAAAACCAACATAGCTTCCGATGCACACAAGAGGGACGGAAATGCCAAACCACAGGAACACGAGCGCAAACATCGTAGAGAACGGCACAGCTCCAGACGACGCTTCACCCCAGATTAAGCAGTTGAGAATGAAAAAGACGAGGAACACAAAGGTCGGATACATGAAAGCCGTCCGCAGAGTGACGCTTTTCCATTCAGTGAGCTTGAAGGACTTGGCCAACCGCGCGGACAAGTACCCTGCGATGAGGCCCATGAATACCCAGAGCAAAAGCATCGCACTCATCAAGGAGCCGCGATTCGCAGGAGAGAGGAACCCGAGAACGGCAAATATCATGGTCACAAAAGTCATACCAAGAATCTGAGCGCCGGTTCCGACATAAGCACAGAGAAGTCCTGGATTATTCGGAGCCCGGAAGACATCCCCGTGCACTAGTTTCCAGCCAGTCTCTTCCTGCGCCTCTTCCTGGGTCTCGAGTTGATTGTACTTCGATATCTCCCGGTGCAAAGTCCTCAGCATAATCATGGCCACCATTCCCGATAGGAAGAGGACGATCATCAGCGAGTTGATGATCGAGAACCAGTGAATCTGATCATTCTGCATGCCCAAGTACATGTCCCATCGCGATGCCCACTTCACGAGGCTTGGCTGGTAAAAGAGAAACACGCAACACAAGTTAGACAAGAACGCGGTGGGATGCATTATTGAAAAAAAGTTTGAAAAACAAAACTCACCAATAAATCTATAAAGACGACGCTCGACACATGTCAACCAGAGAGCCAGCCCCTATGACAAATGATATCTGTTGATTCCCAAAAGTCCTTCCATTTTCCACAGATCCACTCCGTTCCACTTGTCCTCTACACCAGGCCGGTGGAACAGCAGACCAGGTGGAAGCCATTCGAGTGCCCCTGGACCTGTGGTCGGATGACCATCATGCTCGAGGATCATCCTCACTTCCCTCCCATCATGTCCTCACACAATTATTCATGGCAATGCGATCCACCTCTTCATCCACCATACCCATCCACCTCTCTTCATTGATGATGGCCATCATGACTGCTCTTCACACACAATTCGATGGCCTTTCTTCGTTGTTCCCACGTGGCCGTTTCACACGCAACTGCTCTCTTTCTGTAAGGACCAGGTTTCTATGAGAAAAAGTGTGAGTGGCGTTGCCTATGCGAGAAAATATTGGGGCTCCATCAGAGCTCAAAAATACAATCCAAACCTGGGCATAAAGAACCCCATTTGTGTTCTGGATAAACTTCTCCATCTACAAGGAAATAAGGAAAAAGACTAACAAAAAAATCATAGAAAGGATCTGCCTGTTCGCCTTCCAGGTGGGTGGCTGGGAGGTGAAGGTCCTGAAGGAGCTGCATGAAGAGTAATGGACACTAGACTAGATGACCTATTGCGGGTTTCCTGCAGGAATAATCCTATTGTCCTCTAGCAATATCAAAGAGCTTTAGAGAACCGTATTTTTGACAGAAACCAAACAAACACGAGAAAAATGCAATGTGAATAAAATCTAGACCCCAAATGGAAGTGAAGACAAGCCCATCTTCCCAATTGTTTTCCATCCCTACTCGTCATCCTGCCTCCCACTTTTCCTTCGTGATTGCTTCCTCTAACCTGTCGTTCTAATTTTTTTCCCACATTCCAAAATATACATCTCTCTCTCTCTCTCTCTCTCTCTCTCTGTGTGTGTGTGTGTGTGCGTGTGTGTGCGTGTGCGTGTGTGTGTGTGTGTGTGTGTGTGTGTGTGTGTGTGTGTGTCTGTGACAAAGAAACAAATCAACGAAACTTGGCATAAAATACTCAAAAGTCTCAAACCCAACATATTCTCCAGTGAGATAAAAAATAATCGTATGCAAGCACGGCACTGGCAGTCCACAATGACAGGAGCTGAAGAAGTCGGAGGTCACAATCCCAAGATATTGGCAGAAAAAGTCAATGCTGGGGTAGGTCACCGCGGGGAAGAAAGATTCGTAAACCAGGTAGGGACATGCCGCCAGGCAATGAAACTGAGGAAAAGTTGGAAAACCCATTTCATGGAGAGCATGGTTGCTCCGCAAGGATGAGACACAAAATCAAGAAATGGTCCTTGTCGTGGAATGCTCTCTCTCTCTCTCTCTCGCGCGCGCGCGCGAGCAGTCATGCTTTCATGCACGCATGCACAAACATGCACACACACAAACATGCAACCATGGAAGCACATACATACACAGAGAGTGTGGCAAGGCGGGCCCGCGGCAGCAGTGCATTTAAGAGGGCAGCGGTAGGGCCTACTGGTACTGGTAGACCGATTCTACTTCCATTGGGGTCGTTAGCCCAGTAGGACAGGCCCGACAGCTTGGATTGCCACGCGGTCTTAAAATCTTGAAGAGTGCAACAATCCAGACCGTCAGCCCACTAGGACATAATGGCCTGGATTCCCAATTTGTTACACTGTTGCAATGATCCCGTCCGTGGCCCATTTGGACTGCAGACAGCCTCGACTCGAGATTTGGGACCCAAGGTATAGACTGAGGAAAGAACAAAGGGCGGATGGAAAACAACAATGGCATGACGAACGGTTGGATGGGGGGATGAGTGATAGCTGGAAGGGCAGAAAGGGATCGAGAGGGCAAAGAGATAGGAGACGAGAGGACTACAAGTTGCGGAACATGCAGATGGAGAAATGGACAGGCGACTAGAGAGATGCATCAAATGAGGTTACAAGCAGGGAAATGAAAGCAGTTCCGAGAGATGACACATGATCCCTGCTCCCCACAGACACAACAACCCCACGGGGCCACGACCCTAAAAGTGGACAAACAAGTTGGAATTCGCCTTTTACGGACATGGCAAACAACTATGCAGATCAGGCTTAGCTTTGGCTGATTATGTAATTCAACCAGAAGGCTCAGGACCACTTAGGGGGATTGATGAGGAAAGGCGTGTCATTTCAGGAAGCGAAAGACGAGCAGCAATGCAAGGGGCAAAAACAAAGGAGAGAGAAACAATGGAAGTGCAAGCGGAACGATGCAAAGGGCACAAAAAGGAGGCGAAACAAAGAAGCGAGCAATGCCTTGAATGCCAGTGCAAGATAAGTCACAACATACCGAGCAACGATCTACATACCACATATGTCACATCATACGTAAATATGATTTCTTCGTCTTCTCTAATCTCTTGAGGATCACTATCATCAGCCACATATAGCTTTTTGTCTGTATTGCAGCTCTCAAGCTCCACTCCCTGAGCCCACTCGCCCTGATAAGTGTGCTTCTTACTGCACAGGCAGCACACAGACAAACAGAAAACTTCAGAAACCCCTACACCGCAGAAGCTTTTCGCATATCAAAACCTGTACATTCCATAAATGAACATGGCATGAGGAAATGGAGCCCTCGGACGCTCTTCACACACGAGCAATACAACCACAGAGAGAACATGCATGGTCATCCAACACCCCGAAAGTCCAATCTGGATAAACCACCTGCACATGCAAGCCGCTTCTTGCCAAGGCGGATCCCCCCTGCTTACCAAGCCTGGGCGAAATGCCAGCACGGTGCTTTTTGTTTTCTTTTGGCTGGCATCACCAACCGTGCTGGTCCGGTAGCCCTGAGCCTCCAAAACTTTTGGATTGCCTCGATTTTGATTCTCAAGTTTGCCTCGGCGATGTATTGCCGGTTCAAAAGCATATAGCTCCTGAATCGTAATATACAGCAGACGGATGGCAAAAGAAACAAGGGCAAGCTTCCCAATGACTTTCACGGTGAAGGCAAAGCACTCCACACATTCGGCTGCACATGGACTCTCTCTGGTAATGCATCTCTACCCCAGATGCAGCTTACAAAAGAACAGTCAATCTCCATTCATATTGTCAAGTACCACGGGGGCTTTGACTTCTGACTGTCGCTTTTCCAATACAGAAAGTCATCGCACTACGTCTATGCTTCGAGAGCATGCACGTTGCCATAATAGCAGCCAGGGTCATACTTTCCTTGAATGAATATCGCACCAGGGGGCCTGTCCAGGACATCGGGAACCAATAGTCCAGCCTATGACTTGCCGAACAAACAAAACCCCACCACTTGGCATGCATAGATTCTCACAATCAAATTACCCTCGCAGTTATACAGGGTGACATTGCCCCGTCATTCACCCGTTGTTCGCTGGTTTCCATGGGAAGCCATTACCTTCTCAGCATCCTTTTTCCTTGTGCTATGCATAATGAACCAGGCAGTTGCAGTCTGAGAACTCTGCCCTTTTCTGAACAAAATGCTTTTTCCCATTCCAAGACCATTTGAAGTGTTTGTGGTTCACTAGATATGTATATAATCAACCGGTGTATGTATATGACATTGGCTTGCCTGCTCAGGTTTCTCTCTCTCTCTCTCTCTCTCTCTCTCTCTCTCTCTCTCTCTCTCTCTCTCTCTCTCTCTCTCTCTCTCTCTCTCTCTCTTTGAATAGGAAATAACACGTCCGAAGTAGCATACAAGTAGCACAGTGGAGTTCGCAGGAAACTGGTAGTGACAACTGTCAAAAGACAAAAACATCTTTCACAGTTGTACAACCGTATTCCGGCAACGCACACAGCATGCATACAACATAGGCGGATGATCTCCTTCCTCATTTCTTCGATACCGCCCAACCTCCTCGCTCCCTCTCCTGAGCTACTCGCAGCCACCTTCATCACTCCAACGCCCAACCTTCTCCCTCCCTCTGCCGCACAACATTCTCCCTCCCACCACCGTTCAACCTTCTACCTCTCTCCACCACGTAACCTCCCCCTCCTCCCTCCCCATTGCCTACACGCACGCCCTCCCTTCCCATTGCCTCCACCTCCCTCCTCCGTCTCTCTTCCCGAACCCCATCCAACACCCACGCAGCCACCTTCATCACTCCAACGCCCAACCTTCTCCCTCCCTCTGCCGCACAACATTCTCCCTCCCACCACCGTTCAACCTTCTACCTCTCTCCACCACGTAACCTCCCCCTCCCTCCGTGCTCCCATCCTCTCTTCACTCGATGCACGCCTTCCCTCCCCATTGCCTCCACGCACGCCCTCCCTCCCCATTGCCTCCACCTCCCTCCTCCGTCTCTCTTCCCGAACCCCATTCAACACCCACCCAACCCAATCCATCTATCTCTCTCTCTCTCTCTCTCTCTCTCTCTCTCTCTCTCTCTCTCTCTCTCTCTCTCTCACACACACACACACACACACACATGCATGAGCAGAAGGGTGTGTGCACAGCAGTGGCCGCAGGGAGATGCATTTCGACGGGTGACGGTGAAGCGGCACGGCAGCATGAGGGGAAGGCACAGTATGAGGTTTGGCAGTGATGTCCAACGGTGGCTTTGTCAGGACATTGTCCCCTGGGAGGTACCAGAATGAGAGGGACACAGCGAGTCCCTCTTGTCAACAGGACCTGCAGGGCCTGGGTTGTAGGACGGGTTTCCTCTGATCCGGGCCTTTGGCCCCCTGGTACCGGACGGACGGACCGGATCAGTGCACAATCCAGGTCATGGCCCGGTATGACTACAGACGGTCCGAATGTTAAGTCTCTCACGTTAACAATTCTTGTGGTGTAGAGATATAGCAGTGGCATGCCTCCTCATGTCTCCCGAAAGTCAGTGCCAGTCTCCCGTACGCTTTAAGAAAGGTCTGCATATCGACAACTTTGGTCGGCTGAAATATAAACTCTGACCCACTCATCCCGTACAGCTACCATCAGGCAGCCACAGAAAAGGGCCCGCACATCCTTAGACACCAACCACAAGAGAATTCTGTTGCCACAAGAGACAGAAGGCCACAACCACTCAACACTACAGAGATCCGTATCGACCAGATGCCAGATTTCTTGGTTACAGCTCATTGTAGAAGAGGGAGGTTCTGGCAAATTAGAGCTGCCAAAACCACAAGTACTTCCAGACGAAAAGGTTTCTCATTGCATACCACACAGACCGTCTGGCAAACTCGAACTGCCCCAACCACGGGTTCCGTCCAGTAAAAAAAGATGGCACTGCCAGAAAGCTTTCTGCCTTCATACCTCCGGTGTGGACGGTCGTGTTTCAACCGTTCACCTGACACTACCAGACATTTCTGCGCTGCCCCCCATGAAGCTACACTATTCTCACATGGCCACTGTGGAGGACCTCAGCTGGGAAATGGGGGCACGATTGGACAACAGGATGGAACTGCACCAGTTGCAATGCACACTCTGATGTCAAATCCACATCCGCTTCAAACAACTTGACAGTAAAACAAAAACAATGGCAATCCTTGCATCAGCGTTAAGTGGGTTAAGAAGAAATAAAGAAATAAGGTCAAGGTTACAACTTCGCCACTAGCATCGAGGAGGTCCGCTTTGAGACATACCTGTTGGGTTTGACTTTGAACCCGACAACTCTCATTGTATTCTTCACAGGATCTTGATGATAGTCCACTACAAACTGCAGGTGGTTGTTAATGTGATACCTGGCCGGCTCTCCAACTCTCTGCACACACAGCCCAAACGACCTCTGTGAAACTCGTGCACATACTTGATGCGTAGGAGTGGCCTGACATCTGGAAGCACCCTGCCTGTGGAGGTTCAGATCCGGATGAGGGCAAGCGACGACTGAAATCCTCATCAATTTCAGATAAAAATAGAAAAGGAAAACGTATATATGAGAATCGAGCGGTTCTTCTTTCATGTTGGCCTACAATCGACATGCCATTTGTCGGGAGTGTATAATGGGCATTGATCAATGCCAGCCGTCCTGGCAATTGTTGTACTGAGAATGGTGTTCCATGTGTCCATCCACCTAATCCTTACAGTGTATGTCCTCTCTGTCTTTAAGGACAGGCTGATTCTTGAGCTTTTTCTTATCCTTTTCTTTGCTTTCATCTTCATTCCACACCTCACTTTCCATTTGTAGGCGTTTGTTTTGTCTTCTCTCCATCTCTCTCCTCTGTGCTTATCCCCTCCCCCATCACACCCGGCCTCTTTCTCACAGTGTACAAGTGGGCCGTTACGGTCAATGGGGATGTGGGCAGCTTGTGCTCAACTTCATCAACGTGGTGACCCTTGTATGTGAAAAGCCAGGGGAATAGGAGTTGAAAGAAGAATGAGAGAAATGAGTGGTTTCAATGAGATCTTCATCTTGTGTTATTTTATCGTTTGTTTTGCGAAGTGCGCACTCACAATGTGAATCAGAGCGCGAAGGTGAAAAAAAGCAAAACAAGGAAAGGAAAAAAAATTATATTACAAGACAAGGAAAATATACAAAGACGAAATGTGCAACCCTCCAAAGCCGTTATAACACGCTTTTTACCCCTACACCGCTCGTGCCCTTTGTTCCGAAACAATTCGGATTCTGGTTCCATCCATCTGACTTGCACAACTCAAACTGACGTCCCAATGGCCTGTCGAAACAAAAAGTCGCTCCCTCAGTGCGGTCAGTACACATACCGTCCGGATAGTGAAGCCTACACTTATTCAATAGTTCCTCGTGGCCTTCATCCCTGCAGGATTCAGAGCGGTGCAGGTGTCTAAGTACTCTTACTGTACATGACCTGAGAAGATGTCCTCACAGTCTCTTCTGACTAATTTGGAATTCCGCCAGTGCAGCCAGACAAGTCGTTGCCCCTTTTGACACAAGTTCCATACCCAGAGCACTTTGCGGTCTTGCCATACAACAGAACATAGACGACCAACATGTTCTAGCAGAAAATTCACTCTCGATTTGCACATGTCGAGTAGCAGAGCGAGGCCCAGATTCTGAAGTCTACTTCATGCGAGCTCAAGAGGGAGGCCCAGTGTTTCTGTTTCCACCTTTTTTCACTTCCAAGTATCAACATCATCTGTTACGCCAACCTCGCATCTGATGGTTTGACTTGAGAATATCTGATACGCCTTCCTTACTTGCCAATACATAGGACCAGACACCATTTAGAACTGACAATGCACATGTCCTTTGGAACATCCGTTAAAATTGGAACGACACAGAGAAGATTAGCACGGCCCCTGCACAAGGATGACACATACATCCAGAAATGGTCCAAATTTTAAAAAAAAAGAGAAAAAAAAAAAGTTAAAAGACTGCTGAAGTGGCTGTGTGTGGTTACTTAGTCATCGTGATCCTCCTCTCCCATAATTGATCGCATTTAGTCGCCGTGATCCTTCTCTCCCATAATTGCTTGCATTCAAAAAAAAAACAGAAACAACCGAAGCACAAGGATGTGGAGTAGGGAAAGAACGAATCAGTTGGACCTGGTTTGCAGTTTTACCTCAGATACTTTCTTGCCAATCTCATATCCAGGCAAAATATATGTATTCATATCAGTTGCGACTGGCAAATTGTCCAAGATCCTGCCAAACAGAATCATGAAGGAACAAAGCAAATGAGCACAAATCAGATAAGAGCAAGAGAGAAATCCTGCCAACAGGACACAGCGCCAAAATCCTGACTGCAAACATGGATGAGCTTCTTCTGTTCATGTATAATACAACCGGGGGGTGAAAATCCGACGAAACAGTCTGTCACAGCTCCCCGTTTTTCATCCTTTTCTCCCTTTCAACGCTTCAATTCGCCGGGCGTTTCTCTATGATACTATATATGAATTGAATGTTTATGTCACACACCATCTTTCCCCATTTTTGTTTTCTGAACAGGAACTACTACAAGCTACTGCTGAGCTGATTCTCACATTGGTAAATAGGAACATTTCATAAAAAAACAAAAACTTATCTAAAAGACAATAAACAAAGAGAACAAACAAAGCATTAAACCTCCAGTACACCCGACCCTATTTGGACGAACCGACGCCCCCCCTACACGCCAAAGTTTGCCTACCCAAATCGAATTGCTACTGGTAGTGGGACAGCCAGCAGTGGCACCAGTGCCACTCCGTTTAGGATTTCAGCTTCGACTCCAATTGTGTGGTAGGACATTGTTTTCAACCGTCTCCCACGCTGGCGCCAAGCAACACGTACAGAACTTTATTTTTTTGGTTATCGTTCCGTGGGAGGCTTGTTCCCATCGCCACAGTACTGCGGGCCGCCTCCTGCAGTCGTCCTCCTCCCTCTACCGGTCACTGTAGTCGTCATGCTTCGTGGCATGACTGTTGTTTCCTCTTGTTTCTGATTTTTTTTTTACGTTTTATTTTTTGTTTTTGTTTTGCTGTGGTGATGTAATGCCTCTCTTCACCATCCCCATTTGCAAAATAACAAAATTCAAAACCTTGATTGATTGATGAATGTGATCGGATCGATCTATCCCATCACATTCAACAACCAACCTCATACTCTCTCTCTCTCTCTCTCTCTCTCTCTCTCTCTCTCTCTCTCTCTCTCTCTCTCTCTCTCTCTCTCTCTCTCTCTCTCTCNCTCTCTCTCTCTCTCTCTCTCTCTCTCTCTCACACACACACACACACACACACACACACACACACACACGCACACACACACACACGCACACACACACACACACACACACACACATCCGGAGTCCAACCAACCAATGTGCCCACTTCCCTCGACCCCTTCACCCACACGCTGGTACAAAGACAGACGCTTTCCATGCATAAAACTTATGCGCCACATTCCAGAAAAATAACAAGTGAAAAGAAAGAAAGAAAGAAACACAGCGTGGATGACGTGCCCATGAACACCATAGAGGCGACAAAAGAAAGGCGGGGTAGAGAGAGAGAGAGAGAGAAAGAGAGAGAGAGAGCTGGGAGACAGATGGGATATAGCCATGAACCTGGAGGGCGGCCATAATCTACATCGCAAAAAAAGCGCTTTGCCTTCGACTGCAGAGAGAGGGGGCAAGAGAGAGAGAAAGAAGGGAGAGGGGGCTATGGTGATAGGTGTGGACGACGGTCCCGGGGGCACGCCACATGCCCATCAATCAGGCTGCACCATAGAACGACAAGGCCGTCTCACAGGCACTCCCTGTAGGGAGCCCGTCAATCCAAAAGGTGCGTAATTTTTTTTTTTGTCTTTTCCCACGACCCGAAAAACCTCCAGCCCATGGCCTGCGTCCGTACTACCGGCAACAAACCGACGTAAACCTTCTGTACAACAGGAAAGAGGTCATCAGTTGAAATGAAGTCCATCCATGGGCCTGCGGGGTTCCAAAGAAAACGTTTGCCCCCAACAGGCCGAGCCTGCGCCAAGCCCGCTGTCAACTTCTTGTGGTGACAATATTTTTTGCTGCAAGGCTGGGGCCGTGTACTGGTGGTTTAATAAACAGTGAACACAGATACTAAATAAAGAAATCAGAAATAGAGATACCCAACACGTGAAACAGAAATTTCAAGACCCCAGAGCTCATTGAAGACGCATCATGAGTAACCCGAGTTGAAAGCCCTCTTCACGACCTCCAACACTCAATACAACAACAGAGCAGTAACCCTACCTATGATTTGTCCACCTGCACTACTCGCCTCTGAGACCTACACACACCAGCCTACTACCTCTCACTCTCTCTCTCTCTCCACCTCGCCAATGCCACTGAGAGTCTGACCACCTAGGCACTCTCCGGCCAACGCCAGGCTAAACCGCTAGTACATGGCCCCAGCCTTGTTGGGAAATTGTGCGTCACCTACTCCAAAAAATCCAGGGCTCGGAGAAGGCCCGATAGAGCAAGCGTGGAAGGAAGCCGGTGGGCCCAACGAAAAAAGAAAATTGCACTAGTCCTGTTTCATGCCGTGCATGTGGAAGCACATGCACGGCCACACGAGCTGCGCACAAGGACAGGAAAAGAGAAAATGTAAGCGGACGGCAGAAGAACATGTTGGGGACATAATGTCCCCTAAGTATTGCCCGAGCCCGCCTCTCACGGTTCCCACAGTGAGAGGTGGTAGGAAAGAATGTCAGCGACGTTTCCTACAAAACTACGGACGTGATTGCAGTCAGATTCGTCCAGTTCCGGGCTTAACTGCATATGACTGCAATTGCGGCCGCACCTGGACGAATCTCACCGCAATCACGTCCAGAGCTTGGTAGGAAAAGTCGTAGTGGGAGCAGGCCCTCAGCTCCAGCTCTGACTTCACGATCCTGTACTTTCTCTTTCTATTTCTTCTGAGGGTGTACTCCCACCAGGACTGTTACTACGAAGCTCTGGACGTGATTGAAGTCAGATTCGTCCAGGTCTGGCCGCAATTGCAGTCATATGCGGTTAGGCCCAGACCTGGACGAATCTGACTGTAATCACGTCCCTAGTTTTGTAGGAAACATCGCTGACATTCTTTTCTACCACCTCTCACGATGGGAACCGTGAGAGGCGGGCTCTGGCAACACCGAGCCGTTCTCCTGCCCGCCAAGTGGCAGCCCAAACATATGGTTCTTTTCTCGTCCTTTTTGTTCCAAGCTGTATCCAGCACTGGAATTAGGCCAAATTCATAAGGATTTGTAGAGAGTTTGGCTGGGGCGGCAGGTGAATGAAAACAACGGCCTCCATTTTGTTCCATCTGCTTGCACGAGGTCCAGCACAGGGGTTTCACAGAGGCCGGTATTGGTAGCGCCTCACTGTTTCAGGCAGTGTTTCCCCTGGCTGTCAGGCTCGGCAAAATTGAAATTCAGCCTAGCAAGTACTGGTGGTTTAAGTATCAACCAGTTCCCACTGCCGCTCTACTTGCCGACCTATCATGACCACCTGCCACCTCCTCCCTGCACTCCGTCTGCCAAACCCCGCTATGGCAGAGCCAGCACGAGCAGCCAATGCACTGTTTCTCTTCCTGAGATGGGCACTTGCTGTTGCACTATGCCAGCGCTCATGCAAGATACTGCCCGCTGCCTAATGCCCATCTTCCTTCAGCCTCCTCCCTTTTTCTTCTAAGATCGGGGTCTGGGCCTCCGGCAGGCAGTTCCTACGAGCCTGGGTTCCAACCCAGGTACCTGCCCGGTGGGTATCACGTCAGAGCCTACCTCCTGTGAGCTGGGTGGGACTCCAAACGGCGGCTCTTTTTTGTGAGGCCCGTCGAGGTCTACAGCCTCGCAAAACAAAGAGAGCAAAATGTGCCGTCAATAAACACATCTCAAGAGACTCAACTTGCTCGAGGACCTCAACCTTTATTCCTTTTATGCCATTAAGGCCTTCAATAAATACACCTTTGAGCCGCCACTACTTGGTCCAGTCTTTTTTTAAAGATGGACCGTATGCATGCCGCAACCTTCGGGGATCCAAGCCGCCGTTGATGAATTTCATGAATGGCCACAAAAACGACCCGGGGCCTCGAAGGTCGGAAAAAAAAGAGACACCTGAACAGACTAAGCTTCCTCACGGACCATGCAATTTTTCACATTTATGATAAGGATATTATTGGGCACCGTTAGAAAGACAGTAGACAACCAAGTAAGAATACTCTATCAGAAGAAACCACTATCCCGTCAAATTGTGGGTCAACCCAAGGACACAACAAAGAAACCCATGACCGTCCGATCATTAATCCAACACTACAAATGCAAAAAGGCCTCTCTCGCTAGTAACCACGGCAGTCTGAAGAGGAAGTGACTTTAACCACGCCCGTTTTCTATACGGCATTGACCGGAAGCAAGCCTCTCTCTAGCGCATCACGTGACTCCACATCCGCACCCGTGCGCACTCGAGAGGAGGACAAAGAGGCAGATCAGACAACTAAGCACACTACCGGTAGTTCTCCACAACACTAAGCAGAAAAAGGCCTTCAACGCAGCCCCTGACTCTCCCCCACCAAAATTCCTACCAAAAACGGCATTCACCACTGACTTCACCACAGCACCCTTCCCTCACCAAACCCCCTGCCTTCCCCTGCCTTTCTACTCCATCCCCAAAATGGACGCAAGGCCCTTCCTCCACAGCTCTCTCTCTTTCTCTCTCTCTCTCTCTCTCTCTCTCTCTCTCTCTCTCTCTCTCTCTCTCTCTCTCTCTCTCTCTCTCTCTCACACACACACACACACACACACACACACACACACACACACACACACACACACATCTCTTGTAGGAGGGAAGTGCATGAAGAGTGAAAGCGGGAGAGGGGGGAGGGGGAAGCGGCGACGGGAAATATGAGGAAAAAAAGGGGCGGAGGCTGAGGAGGGAGAAAGCAAGGGGCGAGGTGGGGGGAATGGGGAGGAGGACAGCGAAGAGCGGTGCCGGAAGGGTATGGTAAAGAAACACGAAGAGAACAGCTGTTGGCCTAAGGAATTCACTCACATGTTCACAGCGTATGAATCATCGATCTTGCTCTTGAACTTGTTCGCGCCTTCCTTGTCAAGTTTTATCTTGCAAACAACTTGACAAGCTGCGTGCTTCTTCATCTTGAACTGAGGACAGAAAAAGAAATCAGAGGAGACAGCCACGTGTGTATGCTCATTGTGAGCATGCAAATGCGCAAACAAAGCTGAGGGAGAAATGCCGTTGACATCACCACATAAAACCAGTACGCACGTATATCCATATACAGTCAGACAGAGTCCAACAAAACAATTTGCCATAGCTCTCCCCCGTTTCCTGTACTTTTCTGCCTTTCTGCCCACTCCATGACCATATATCACACGTATATTTCTAGTCAAAGAGACTTGTCCCGCGAACCGGAGGCAGAAAGGGGAACAGGACATGAAACAGGGGACTGTGGAACACTTTCGTCGAAGCGTCACCGACTCATCAGGCTAAGCCCTATATATACAACAATATTCACTGCGCAGTTCTCTGTGACGATAAATGCATATTTTATTTATATAAATCCTTTATGGTCCTCTTCTCAGGGTTACTCATATCAACAGGTCTGTCAAAAGTTTTCAGCATACACACGATTCATTCATGAAATCGTTGGCCCGCTCTACGCATTCTCAAATCTCGGTATTCCATTCAGCTATTACTTTGTCCCCTCTAATTGCTCCTTTTTATTTGCAAGCCCTCCCACCAACATTTCAAGCCTACCCGTATCTGTTCTTGCTTTCTTGGACTAAGGGCATACTCACACGAGGACTTGTGAGGCTGTATCTGACTACATTTACCGCCCGATTCAAGGTAGAAAGCCCCAGTGTATATCCTAATCCTTCATGGCTGTCGCTCTTCAGACTACTCAAAGTTCAACTCAATCACGTGCACTGCTGTTGTTGCAAAAACTGATTATGAACAGGTCCTTGCCTGGAGAAAGCCATTGGAAGACGGCGAACACCGGGGACAGACAGAAAGCGAGACACGTCAGAGAGCAGAGAACGTCAGGGCCACGTCAGTGCTTCCCCTCCCCCACGCCCAACCCAGCACCACTCCCTCTAGCAACTCAGCCCCCGCCCCCCCCCCCACAGGTTTTCCCTTCTTACCCCCCTGCTTCTCCC